CTTAAAATGTGTAATTCTTTCTAAGATAAACCTTGTGTATAAACAAATAAGACAATGCCTATATCGTCACATGCCATAGTCACTGTTCTATTGCTGTGAAGAGACACCATGACCATGTCAACTCTTAGAAAACAAAGCATTTAATTGGGGGCTTGCTTAGAGTTTCAGAGGTTTTGTCCATTACCATAATGGTGGGAAACATGGGGACACACAGGCAGGTGTAGGAGCAATAACTGAGAACTGCATCCCTGTCTATAAGCAGAGAGAGAGAGAGAGGGGGGAGAGGGAGAGGGGGAGGGGGAGAGGGAGAGAGAGAGGCTGAGCCTCATGTGGGCTTTTGAAAGCTCAAAGCTCTACCCAGTGACATACTCCCTCTAACAAGTCCACACCTCCTTCTAATCCTTTCAAAGAGTTCCACCTGCTGGTCACTAGGCCTTCACATATATGAGCCTATGAGGGCCATTCTCATTCAAACCACCAGACTGGCTTAATGAAAACTCAAAATAATGGACAAAGTAATATCATTCTCAAGTCTTTCTGAGTTTAGGTTTAACTACGTTCTTTAAAAACAATATATGCTATCACTACCCTCTGTGAGATGTTGCTTCTAAATTCTATAATAACCTTAAGGGAGATGGACATAGTGTAAACATAATCAATAAATGGAGCAAATCAAGGAGATTGGAAAACCTCACAACTTTCAGCTTTAGTTTCCATTTCATGTTTGTCCCTCCTGTCTTCTTTGAAATTAAAATTAAAGTTGTTTCTCTTATGTAATTTCGTAGTTTAAAGTAAGACAATCAATTATCATGTCAGTGTTTCTAAAATCTGTTTGTCCCTGGGGCCTCCGCGCAGGTGCCCTGAGCCTTCTTCATCCGCCTCCCACTCCACACCTCTTCCCACTCCTCACCGCCCATGGTTCTTCCTGAACTGTCACGGCCTTAACTGATGCTCTGGGAGTCATGAGCCATGCCTGGCAGGTAAAATATTAAACTTCCTCCCCTTCTCCCTCCCCATGCCATCTAATTAACAACACTCTGATGGTATTGGCTTGCCTTGACAGGAAACAGTTGTTTGAAGGATAGCAAGCAGGAAGCCTTCGTTAAATACTTTTCTATGACTGTGACTAAACACCTGGCTTAAAGTCTAAGGAGATGCCGTGTATCACGGAAAACATGTAACAGAGGGTGGCAAGAGTATTTGCTGCTGGGCCTTCACACAGGGCAGGAAGCAGAGAACAGATAAGAAGAGGGCTTCAGCCATGAAACTTCAAGGTCAGTCCCACCCTAATCTGCTCCCTCCAGCTAGTCTCCACCTCTTGGATAATCTACAACTCACAAAACAGCTCCAATAGCTAGGAGCCAAGTGTGCGAATGTGTGAATCTATGAAGGGACATTTCACATTCAAATCATAATATTGACTAAAATTAGTTCACTGTGGAAATTTAGAGATAGCTGTGTGGTTTCTCCCATTGGGAATCTTCTCTGTGGGCTATTGGACAGAACCAGCTAAAACTGCCACATGAAAAGACACTCATCCCTTAAGGAATAGAGAACCCTACCCAGATCTGTGCAGAACATGGCTCTAGCCATGGGATAGTCAATGAGGTAGGGCTTCAGACAGTCTGTGCATCATCGCTAACTCCATTAAGGCTTAGTTCTAACAGCTGACAAATGACCTCTGAAGCCATTGTCACTTGAATGCTTTGCTTTGTTATGGTTTTGTTTGACCTTTACTTGTAGCCTCCCTATAACAGGTCTCACAATGTCTTAGAGTCCTTTGGCAGTTCAAAGTCAGTTAGATTAAACTGTCCAGATAGGCAGAACCAAATAATTTTGTTAACCATTGGCTAACAGTCAGAGGCATGTATCCTCAGATAAACAGTGTCTAAGACCTTTTATTTCCTGAAGTGGTGGAGGAAAAAAAATACTTTTGACAAACATCAGTTGACTTAGTCTTGGCTGCGATAGCCTATGGAACTAGGAAATACTATTGTGGGGTTTCCTCACTGGCCGGACAGAACTTTCCTTGCCAATTCTGTCATTGTCCCAGAAGCTATGTGTGATCTTTCTGAAAACGGCTTGTCTCTCTGCCAAATGCATGAAGGATATTTGGGCACATGGTCCTTTTTTCCCCTTGTCCTATTGAATGTCATTCATTCTATGTACTCAGAGCACAGCCAATTATTGATGGAACAGTACATGACAAAAAGTCCTATTAGAGTACCTAGGATATACAAGGAGTCTTTCCCTGTGGGACACACTTTTGGTGACAGCGGATTTAATTTACAAGGTAAAAAGTTTCTGTTTAATGCCTATAAATATCAATATCCTATCTGTAATTATAATAATAACTTACATTTATTGAGTGCTTACTGCGTGCCAGGCAGTAGTCAGAGAAGCCTGTTCTGAGCAGTAACCCATATAATTCCTGTGGTCGCTGGATGAAGTTGGAGTCATTATTACATATAAATTAGAGACAAGACACAGCCACTTTGCAAGATTTTTGCAGGAATCACATGATGTAAGGCTTTTAAAAATATGAGCAGAGCCTACACCTTATAATTTTACTTTGTTTTTCTCCTGCTTAACGATAGATTTGAAATGCTGCTCCGGTTCAAAGGAGAAATTTGAGGTGATGAAATATAGAGATACAACACAGATAAAAGAAATTGCTCTGAGGAAACAAAGATTTAATGATACAAAGATTTGGCTGGAAAACAAGCTGTCTGGAATAAAAAAAGCTGACAGCAGTTTCTAATGAGCTGGTACATTCTGGGACAGGAAGACATGTACACCTGCTGTACTGGTTTCTTCTGATGAATGTCTAGGTTTCATATCACTACTGCTTCCCAGTCGCTTTCTTTCCTCTACTCTTAGGCATCTGTGGGGACTGCCACTCTCTCACTGCTTGTATAGAGCTTTAAGACTAACAGGGAAGACAGACCTCAATTAACAGGTACATGCATGAGTATGAAATTTAGTAACAAGGGAGGAGGAAAAATAGAAAGGTGTGGCAACATCTGCCCAAAAGGTTCTACTGATGAGGGTAGCAAGAGTTTGGGCTATGTGTTTAAAGCCAGGCTAGAGTGTCCTAAGTCCAAGACAAAAGAAGTAAGATGATAAGAGACAAGGGGCCCTTCCAGATAGAAAATGGTAGGAAAAATGTATGCTGAGCAGGAGGGTCAGAGAATAAAACCACCAATTTAATAACTATTTAGCAATCTGTCATCTTAGCTCCTCACCCCTGCTTTTGCATCATGAAAACCGTGTGTGAAAAGACACTTGCCTCAGATGAAGTAATGCTTACACAGAGACCAGACAATCATACATGAATAGTCAGATGGTAAATTTTCACACATGTGACTAAAAGCAACGTGATGTATGCCTATAATTCCAGCACTCGGGAGGCTGAGGCTAGAGGAGTACAAGTTCAAATCTAAGCTGTGCAATGAGAGCCTTTCCCAAAACAACCATTTTCGACATTTGATTATGAATACTCATGTTTTACACGAGGCAGTAGGCAACTTTCTGGAATATAACCCTTCATTCATGAATGTTTAAATTTTTAAAAATACATTGTTTAAAAGAACATTTTCTGAATGTGCTAGGTAATGTTGCATAATTAAGCTAAACATGTATCATTTAACATCTACTGCCTCTTGCTATCTGAACAAGCCTGGGTGCTAATGAGGTGGGCTAGCATTCAGATCTGTGAGTCACACCCCAGCATTTCATGGGTTGATTCCTGTTCAGAGGTTGGAGAGATTAACACTTTAAGGCTCATTCTGTGTTCCTGTTTTGAAAACAATGAAGGTGGTGGTGGCTGTGGAGGCAGGAGGTGGGCAGCTGCCCCCTTATTGCTGCTAAAGTAAATAAAGAATCTGCAACACTGTAGAAGATGGAAAGCTTGATTTATGGATGACAATTCCCAGGATTTATATTACCCTGTTGAAGTCGTTTTGTTAATAGTTTTGCAGTCATTAAAAAGTCTCTGACAAAAGAAAGAATAAGAAAGAAAGTAGGGAGGACCGGAGGGAGGGGGAGGAAGAGACCAGAGACCGGGTGATTTTTTTTTTATCTTTCACAGTGTCTGCCTGAACTCTTCTAGTCCATAAGAGATAAAGAGAAGCCAAGATCTCAGCTCACTCCACTCCCAAATAGGAATCACCGTCATTTGAAAGCCTGATTCCAAGTGTTGGGTGAATCGATTCACAGAGATTTGTTTGTGGGATGTTTTGATACCACAGCTCCCACCTCCTTACCTCTGACTACCATATATTTTTCAACAAAGAGAGTCATTAGGAAACAGCCATGTCTAGGTATGGAAACCACATTCTAAGAAAGCCAGGGCAAGCTGACCAGGACACTCAATTGCTCAAACCCATAGACTGAGAACAGATTACAGACTATTCAAATTTGCCAGCATGGAAGCTGTTGCTTCCCCAACCCCCAATTTCCTGAAGCTGCTCACCCCTCATCCTGCTCACCCTGCGCCCCTCATCAAAAAAAAAAAAAAAAAAAAAGCAGAAGAAATTGCTGTGCAAGTGCAGAATTACCTCGAATAAACAGGCAGAAAATCCTTTTTGCAAAATCGATCCCACAAGCATTTTTAATGTCCAAAGTGAAACTCAATTTTGGCAAGAAAATCCTTTTGTGGCTCCCAGGAAAGAGGGAATCTGGACAAGCCAGTAGGAGACTGCACCCTGATAGATCAAGGTAAATGGGGGTGGAGAGGGAGCACCTGTGCACTCACTAGGTCTCTGCGCACTGGGGCACATCTGGGTGGCCACTGGCACCAGTGTAAACTTGGAACTCAGAAGACAGACAGAGCCCTTCCATAACTATTGCCTGCTGCAGCTCAAGTGCCCCGCTAGAGCTGGCAGGATCCAAGACTCCCCGCACTCTGGCAAAGCATCCCTGCCTCCATGCCAGCACCTACATGAGAGCTTGAACCAGGCATCATCTGGGTATCTCAACTCCAGAATTCCATGGGGGCAATGGCTGAGGATTCTCTGCTCCCTCCTATAATGTCTCCACAGCTGGTAGTGGCTCTTGCTTGCCTACTTCTGACTTGTCACTCACTGAGGAGACAGGTACATTTGAGTGGGAACGCATCCCACCTGGAGCTCTACCTCCTTGGGAGCTCTTGATGGTGGTGGCCAGCAGAACCCTCACATCCTGATTGCCAACCCTGGCTCCAGGTGCCTCAGAGCCGCTCGGTTTGGGCCCCCACCGCTGGACTTGATGACTCAAATGCAGCCAGAGGACCAATGTGAGGTGACAGTGCTGGACATCCTGCCGCTCCAAGGCATGCTTTCTCCTTGCCACTTTCCCTGTGACTTTGGAGCCCACCAGGTCAGGTTATACTCACTTTGGCTCGCCCAGTGCCACAAGCACCCGGGTGCAGCTGTAGCTGCGCTACGACTCAGGGAATTCCACGCTGGTGCTGCCTTTCACTCTGGATGTGAACGTGGTCTTCTCCAAGCTCGAGCTGGTGACACGCAACAGGCCTTTGAAGGTGTTTAAAGTGCAAGGCTGCAGCCAGGCCATTGACAGGAGAATGATAGACTCCAGGAGTGGGTGCAAGCTGCTCTTGCATCCTCACCCTAGCGGAGCATTCCCCAAGTATGGGCACTTGGTGGATGCTGCTGGGACTCCTCTCTCCAGGGGCCACCTGGCCCACTGTGAAACCTTAGTCCAGGCTGGGGTGTGCTACCCGGCACACCGCTACACCACTAGGGCCAGAGCCCCAAGGTACTGGGTCAGTGAAGGTGCTGGCCCAGGAGTACTTTCAGCTTCAAGTCAGAATCCAGAAGTTTAGCTGCTCTGATGATGGCAATAGTTGACCAGTCCCTACTTACAGCCCTGACGCCTGATGCTCTAGCTGCAGAAGACAGCGAATCAGTCCCTGATAGTCTTTAACATTCTCAATGCCCCCGAGGTCCCAACTGGACACCAAGGTCAGGAGGGCTATGTGATGAACACAGATGACCCCCTGGGTCTTCCAGTCTCCTTCGCTCAGAAGGAACTGTGGGAGCTGAAAATTGCTTTTCGACCCCCCACAGGGAGCTCAGGAGGGGACCGCATTTTCCAGCTGGAACTACAGCTAGTAGATGGAGATGGTGACATCTCTGACCCTTTTGCCTTGTGGTGGTCTTGAAGTCTATGAATGCCCTGGCTCCGATGACTAGCTATAATAAAGGACTTCTGGTTTTTGAAGACCAGGCAAGGCCCCTGTCCAATGGCCAAAGCCTCCAGGTCAGTGATAAAGATAATTCAGAAGAAATAAGAATTGCTACAGTCAGAGGTCTGCAGCATGGGCAGCTGGTGGTGCTTGGGGCACCTGCAAGGTGTAAGTATTTCACACCAGTAGACCTAAGTGCAGGGCGAGTGTACCAGCATGATGACAGTGACTCTTACAGTGACAATGTCATCTTCAGAGTGGAGGATGGGCACCATCGAGTGGATTTCCTCTTCCCCATTACCATTGTGCCTGTGTCTACCACCAACACAGGACTCTCAGTGACTCAAGGGCAGGTGGTCTAGATATCCCCCTTTGTCTTGAGGGCTCAACTATTCTCTTTGTGTTGGAAGACCAACATCTGGAAGGAAAAACAGGAAGAGTAGGAACCTGGCCCCTGATTCCTATAGCTCAAGCCAGCACTCGAGCAACATGCTACTGAGGCAGGTTGAACCCCATTTGTCCCTTCTGCAGAGTGACTGGCACTATGTGGAAATGGAGGGGCTTTATGAGAAGGTGGTGACTGAGTGGCTACAGGAAGACATAACAGAAGGGAGACTTCTCTTCTCTCATCCTGGACCACACATCCCTCAATCTACAGTATTCCATATGGCTTTCCATGTGCAGGATGGCCATGACCCACCAAATCTATCCAGCCAGCACTTCCTCAGCATCAGTATCCATCCTGTAGATGAGCTGAGCCCTCAGCTGTATCCAGGAACGGCCCTAGAAATGACTGTGCATGGGTACCAGCTCACTCCCTTCCAGAAGAAATTCCTCCAATATATTGACCAGAATTCAAATGACTAGAACTTGTGGTACACCCTACTGACACCACCAACTGACACTGAAAGCAACCACCAAGTCCAGACTGGAGAAATTGTGCTCAGTGATTCACCAAATAGACCCATTATTCACCTCACCCAGGCCCAGGTCATTCATCAAAAAATTGCTTATCAACCCCCACAGAAGATTCTGGGCATTGTTCTTCAGGTTGTGCAATTCACCTACCAGGTGGGAGACGCTGCAGGCAATGGTCTGCCAGATACATTCACATTACTCCTGCAGCCTTTGAATAATCAGCCACCAAAAGTTATCAATAGGGGCTTTGCTGTCTTCAGAAAAGATAGCTTTATTCTCACCAACAGTGAACTTGATGTTACAGACCCTGACACAAATATTGATCAAATTTTCTTCACTTTAGTCTGGGTTCCCCAGCATGCACACTTGAGGTGCTTTAAAAATACATGGTTGCAGGAGAATCTTTCATGCTAACTGATATTATTAATGGGAACATCTCTTATCAGCATAGTAGAGACCAGACTACCAGTGACATCTTCTACCTGGAGGTAACTGATGGGGTGCACCATATACCCATCAGTATACTCATCACTGTCATGGCTGGTGGAAGTCCTGTGGTCTCTATGACTGGCTTTCCAATATTGGCTATTTCCATAACTGTGCTTGAGAATGCCACTACAGGGATCACCATGGGTGTCAATCATGGTAAAAAGAGCAGAAAGGATTTAATGCTATCTTTCATTATAGAGGACAAGCCTAAATTGGGCTCTATTCTGGTGAATGGTCTGCTTGCAGAACAATTCACCCTGGAGGACCTCACTGGTGGGGTAGTCACCTATGTCCACACTGGAGGTGAAGTTGGCTTCCAAAGTGTACATGATGCTTTCAGCCTCATCCTCAGCAAAGATTCTTATCACTGGTCCTTGGGGGACAACATACTGGAGAAGGTGCTTGTACAAGCGACAGTTCTGCCAGTGGACAACATGGCTCCCAAGGTCTTAGTGGGAGAGCCCTTCATCGTATATGAAGGTGGGAAGAGTCTTTTGACCACACAACACCTTAACATTGAAGATGTGGACACCCCCAAAGATGAAATCCTTTGCACTCTGACTGTACAGCCATCCTCTGGCTACCTGGAAAACTTAGCACCAGCTCCTGGTTCAGAAGTGTCTCGTGCTTGCCTTCTTCTTCTTCAGTGCCTTCTTTTTCATGGATGTCCAAGTCAGGTCATCAATTACGTGCAAAGTATCCACATGGGGGTAGAACCAGAGACAGATCAATTCTCCTTTTATTGCTCTGATGGCATCAACTTCTCCACAAATGTCCTCCTCCCTCTGACCATCTTGCCCACCAATGATGAACAGCCTGAACTTTTCATCCATGAGTTTGTGGTATTAGAGGGGATGAGCCAGGTCATAGACACCTTGTAGGAGATCCAGGAGGCCTCCTCCATTGCCTATGAGCATGATGACTCAGAGAGCACAGAGGACAGCTTTGAGATCTGGTTGAGTGATGGCAAGCACACCACTCACAAAAAGGTACCCATTGTTGTAATTTTGGTAGATGATAAGGCCCCTCAGCTGACCATCAATGATGGGCAGGAAGTAGAAACTGGACACTCTGAGATCATGACAAATCATATGCTAAAAGCTGTAGATCTTGACTCAGATAACAAGGGTCTCACTTTTGTTCTCCTGACTGAGCCTCAACAGGGGCTTCTACAATGACTGAGGAAACCAGGAGGGGACATGAGAAACAACCTCACTGTGGAAATGAATTTCACCCAGGATGAAATTGACAGAGACCTCATCTGTTACACCCACACAGGCTAGACGGATGCTGTTGATCTTTTCAAATTTGATGTGACTGATGGAGTTAACCCTCTGAGGGAACGCTATTTCTATATCATCAGTGGCAACTCAAACAGCATGCCCCCCTGAGGTTGTCAGCAAAAGGGTCACCTTGACAGAAGATGGCAGAGTGACCCACACCACTGAACTGTTTAATACCAGTGATATCCACAGCTCTGATGAGGAATTTCACTATAATATTACACGAACTCCTAGCATGGACTACTTGGAAAGTTCTGACCAGCGAGGAGAGGTCCATGACTTCTTTTACTCAGGTTCAACTGGCTGGCAACAAGATATCTTATGTTTATATTTCAAAGGATGAGATAAAGGTGGAACACTCTGAGCTTAGAGTGACTGGTGGACACAATCTTCAAGGTATTCGGAACAGATGGGGACAATAAGAAACCAACTGTGACCATCCATACACTAGCACTGCAAAGAGGGGACAGCATAGAGGTCACTCCCTTTCAGTTGACAGTGGAAGATGAGGATACTCCAGATGATTTTGTTATGCTTACCATCACCCAGGTCCTCATCCACGGCAAGATTTTGTACAATGGTAGCCATCCTGTGACCACTTTCACCAAGAAAGACCTGACTGGGAACTTGATTCTCTACTGTCATGATGGTAGTAAGACAACTGATGACAGTTTCTCCTTCACTGTGACTGATGGCACTCAGACACTGCCCTGGAGACATACAACCACCTCAGATAATGTGGATCCAGATAAGCCCCCTTGGCAACAGGCTCCCACAGATTGCCATTAACAGGGGAGCCTCAGCCTTGAAGTTCCTCCGCACTGGACACTTGCATTTCCTCATTACCAACAAGTATCTACAAGCAGACCATCAGGATGGCCCTCACAGACTCCTGAAGTATAAAGTGACCAGAGGACCTGAGCATGACTACATTGTCATTGCTGGCTCTGGGAACAGGAGCACCCATATGTTCCCATTCTCCTCTGGCACCTCTGTCTCTCTCCCTCAGTGGGTTAGAGATCTCAGAGCTCTGCAAAATGGTTCTGACTCTAGTTTTGATTAAAAAACAAACAAAAAAACATAGTGGAATGTAAAATTACTTCTAAGAAATTAGTCCTTTTACAGCCATTCATTAAAAGAGCCACTTAACAGAAACACAGACATATGTAATGACCCTTGTAAGTACAACTTCAACAGCAAAACATAGACACGACACTTGGGCTTCTGAAATATAGTGATGTTATATTCATTTTTATATCATTTCAAGTATAAGAATGACATACCAGGCAGTGATGGTGCACACTTTTAATTCCAACACTCAGGAGGCAGAGGCAGGATGATCTCTGTGAGTTTGAGGCCAGCCTGGTATACAAAGTGAGCTCAAGACAGCCAGGACTGAATGTTACACAATGAAACCCGTTAAAAAAAAAAAAAAAAAAAAAAAAAAGGACATATCCAAGTATCTAAGAATCATTGTCATAGTTGAGCTATAAATGATTACATCACACATTTTAATGTACTATTCAATAGTAATTTCTGAAAGTGGAAGTGGTGGCTCACTCTTGTAATTCCAGGACTTAGAAGGCTGAAGTTTGATGCCAGTCTGGAACACACAAATACTAGGCCAGACTAGGCCATTGTGTAACATCCTATCTCAATATAGGAAAAAGATGTAATTTATTTGTCAGAAATGCATAGAACTAAGTTAGCCTAAGTGTACAAAAAATTATCTTATAATTTTATTTTTTTTTCTTTTAAATTTGAGGTTAATACTAGTGCTGACCTAGGAAGAAGTTCCCTGCTTTTCCAGGTAAAATCACATACAGTTCTATAAGGATTATTTGTCTAAATAGATTACACAGGGATGCAAACTGTCATTTAAATACTAATAATTACAAATACAAAATACACAACCACAAATCTAAGGAACAAGTTGTTTAAAAGCAAGAGTTATAAACAATAAGAAAAACACAAAGTCTTTATTCTCATTTTCTTTTTCTCCAGATGTAATATGTACTGTTATTTAAACTAATTTTGACAAATACTTAACAGGTACCGGTCATTCAGGCTCTGTGCTCACACAGAAACTTAAAATCATATTGACCAGGATCTTCACAAAGTGGAAGGATACATAGAACATGTAAAGCCAGAATGTCCCCTGGATGCTTGGTATATTCAGGAACACATGTTCATAACAGCACTATAAAATATTCTTTAATTTTTGCCTTTCTAAAGTAACAAACAGGTCTGGATTTTGGGTGCCTATGGGATCCACTCTTTCATCTGCCAAGGAAACTCCCAGGAATCCACAAGGATGACCCCAGCTAAGACTCCTAGCAATAATGGAGAGGGTGCCCCAACTGACCTTCCCCTGTAATCAGATTGGTAACTACCCTAATTGGTAACTACCCTTCATCCAGTAACTTATGGAACCAGATGCATAGAGATCCACAGCCAAGCTGAGTTCTGGGATTCCAGTTGAAGAGAGGGAGGAGGAATTATATGAACAAAGGGCAGGAGGTCAAGATCATGATGGGGAAACTGACAGAGACAGCTGACTGAGCTTATGTGAGCTCATAGACTCTAGACTGACAGCTAAGGAGCCAGCACAGGACAGACTTAGACCCTCTGCATGTGGGTGACATTTGTGCAGCTTGTTCTGTTTGTGGGTCCCCAAGCAGTGAGGCCAGACCTGTCCCTGGTTCACGAGTTGCCGTTTTAGAACCTATTCCCTATGGTGGGTGCCTCACTCAGCTAAGATGCAGGGTGAAGGAACTTGGTCCTGCCTCAACTTGATATGCCATGCTTTGTTGATGCCCATGGGAGGCCTTACCTTTTCTGAATGGAGACAGGGGAGGAATGGATGGGGGAGGGGCAGCAGATGGAAGAGAGGTGAGGGCAAGGAACAGGGGAAAAGGAGGGAGAGAAAAGTGTGGTTGGTTTGTAAAATAAATAAAAAGTTATTTTAAAAAATCAAACAAACAAACAAAAACAACCAGATATGTTGATCAGCAAGATGGCTCAGTAGGTAGTGGTGATGACCTGACTTCAATCCTTGGAACACATATGGTGGGAAGAGAAAACAGACACCTGCAAGTGGTCCTGGGACCTCCATTTATATACCATAGCACAAAGACACACTCATGTGCACACACACTTTAAATAAATAAATTTAAATTTAAAAATTTGACATTCCACCTGTATTTAAAACTGTGTTACCTTTTCCACACTGTATAAAACACTGAAGTTGCCAACACCCCTCTCCTGCTGTACAAATGTGACTTAGTGTGGCTGTTTGCTCTGGTTAAAGCTGACATTGATGAGATGCGGGTCCACTACATCCTGAGCAAGGGCAGCAGTGCAACGGAGGACACCTTCTACTTCTCTGTTGAAGCCAATGGTAAGTGCAGTAAAGCCCTAGAGTGCACCATGGTGAGCAAGCATCAGTACACAACTGCACACAATGTCTACCATTCCCCTGTCATCACAACCAGTAATGTCACACACCCTACCAGTAGATGAGATCTTCTTTTCTGTGGTCCTATGCTCAGTGCTTCTGAAGGGCTGAGTGGCAAACCAGTTTTTAAGAGGAAAAAACAACCAAGGTTTTGATGAATGTGATAGGAATGCAGTAAATGAATTTCTGACATATGATTCTAATAATGGAATCCTAACACCTTTAGGAGATCCTGAGAACTGAGGTAATGGTGTCTATCATACTGACACCACGTAGAAACTATCCCTTTAGACTTGATCAGCATTTTCAGCTACAGAGTGAGGTTTATGTCTTCCTAACAGAGTTATTCTTCTTGGGGACTGATGGTGTGCAATGGTTCAGCATACATTTTGCATAGGGTAGACAGCTCCACACCCTCCCCCAGTATAATCTTAAATTTCCTTGGATTGGGGGAGCGTAATCGCTGGGATTTTGATGTTCTTAGATGGGGGAGAGAATGGATTTACTGACATAGAAGCTGCCTGTTCCTGCTGCTCCTGAGTCTATCCTCAGTACCTTCAAAGGCACAAGCAGGAATCGGTTGACAGGAGACATTTAATGTGCACAGCAAGGGACAGGGTAATCATGTGTTGAGAAGAAAGACTGTTTCAAGGTGCAGCTGGATAAGAGTGGAAATTATGGCCAGGTGCTGCTTACCACTCAATATCTTCTCTCAGTAGAAATCATTAGTCCCTCCCAGCAAGTAACAACTGTCCCCTGCCGGAATCATGTATCATCAGGCAAGGACCAATTTACTGCAAAGTTGTTCTGTATGAGAAGCAGGAGGGGAAACTTGACCCTGGCAGCCTCAGGCAAGGTCTTTTGGCCCATTCTCATTTGACCTCCCATTGATAAAAAGACAATGGTCTTCATATCTAACTCAAATAGTTGAGATCATACAGAAAGCATTTGGCACAACCAATCTCTAAAGCCACCATGCTTTGGGCTCACTGGTCCCTCCTCCTCCATCTTCATGCCTAAACTTGGATACAAGTCTTTCTTGCTTTTTCCAAGTCCTCAAGAATTGCAGTTGTTAAAAAGATGAATGTATGATTTTAAACATGTTCATAAAGAAATGTAGCATGTGGACATTGTATTTGGGGGATTTTTTGTTTGGTTTGGTTTGGTTTTTGGTTTTTCGAGACAGGGTTTCTCTGTGTAGCCTTGGCTTTCCTGGAACTCACTCTGTAGACCAGGCTGGCTTCAAACTCACAGAGATCCCCTTGCCTCCAACGTGCTTGGATTGAAGGTGTGTACCACCACTGCCAGCTACATGGACATTGTGTAGCCAACATTTTCCCTTCTGCTCTGAAAAGGAGATGACCTCTGATTCTGGCACTATGGTTTGTAGGCAGCACTAAATGCAAGACAATTCTATGATGGAGCTTGGTTGGTTGGTTTTGGTTTTTGTTGTTGTTTTGTGGTGTGTGTGTGTGTGTGTGTGTGTGTGTTTCCCCCTGTTAATGAAGTAATGCTGTGGAATGAATTCTCATTGAAAGCATCAGCAAAAAGGATGGAGAACAGGCTCAAAGGTCCCTTTCCCGGACGAACAAAACAAGAGCAATCAAGTGTTAACACTAAAACAGCTTGGCACAGGTGGAACTTAAAACAGCTACTAGCCATAAGCCAATTTCATGTTTATGTGCCTTTTTTATTTTCAATAGATTGTCCTGTTACCTGCTGGATACCAAGCACATGGCTCAGGTCTATGTCTACAGTGATTCTAACGGCCGATAGGGTTCCTTTTATACACTGATTATTTAATAGTTTCAAGGAAATTAGTCTATTTCTCCACAGGCACCAATTTAATCTTTTTTCCCCTTTAAAATATTTCCACTTTGAGCTAGAGGAGGGGCTCAGTGGTTAAAACATGTATCAGTCTTGCAGAGGACCCGAGTCCAGTTCCCACCACTCACAGCAGGCAGCTCACAACTGCCTGCAGCTCCAGCTTCAGGGAAGCCACACTTCTCTCCCCTCATTACACACGCACGCTGACACATATACATCAACATAAATACATAATAAAAAGATTTTAGAATTCCCACTGTAAAAAAAGTTCCAGGAGCTGGAGTGATGGCTCACAGTTATGAACACTGAATGCTCATCCAGAGGACCAGGGTTCAATTCCCAGCACCAACATGGCAGTTTACAATTGTCTATGACTCCAGTTTCAGGGGACCCAACACCTTAACACAGACACGCACGCAAAACACCAATGGACATAAAATAAAAATAAAGAACTAATTCTTAAAAATTGCAATCTGAATTGTTAATAATGTTGTTTGCCAGCACACAACCAGTAGAAGGCGTTGCATCCTGCCATCTCAGCAGTTTGGGTTGGTGAGTGTCTACTGATACACTCAACCATTACACTGAGGGAGGAGGGCTGTGGAGTCTGGGATAAGTCTCCTGGTTCTCCACTTCTTGAAGGAAAGAATTTGATGAGAGACACAGACTGGTTCAGCAGTTTCTTTAGCAAAGCACAGCAAAGTAAGCATTCCAAAGAGTAGCCTGCCCCAAAGGGGAAGCAGACCACTGCATTTTGCACTGAGTTTTCAAGAATGTTTCATAATGAGTTTTGAGATGAGTGGCACATTCATGAAGTACAGTAGACCAGATCTCCCTTTTAGGGTTACTTCCCATGATCCTCTAGAACAGTCCACAAAAAAGCAAGGGTTAAAAATGAGTGTGAGTGATAGTATAGTTAGATGTAGACTCTTCACTAGTGTACAAGGGTGGCAGCTGGTAGCTGGGTTTCTGTCTAACAGAACAACTTCACTGCAGCTTCAGAGCTACCTAGCCACTGCTGCTACCAAGATCTAAGATCCTGCTGCAGTTGCATTGTTTCTCTCATATCTAACTCCTTGCCTGCCTGGCTCCAGGATGATGATGATGGTGGTGGCCATGATGATGGTGGTGGTGGTGATGATGGTGATGATACAGAAATACTAGTATTCAATCCCCTCAGAGGAGTGATGTCCTACCTGCAGTAATGTGCATTAGTCATTTGTTATAATTTTATGAAAATCATAAGGTTGATACCATTAAAGTTAGGTATCTGCTAGGACATCTGCTTTCAAGTCTTAGCTCAATTCCATATGTGTGAAATATCTCTGAGGACCCATGCTTTGGGAATTATTGATTGTCATCGCATGAGCTGTGGAACTAATCATAAGTGCAGTGGCTTCAATAACACACCCTGTTACCCATCTGTCCTGGTAGTTAGATATAAAAAGGTTCTGGCAATCCAGAGTCAAAGTTTTGTCAAGGTGGAATTCCCTTGTGGAGATCCAGAGGGGAACACAAACTTTTCACTTGTCCCAGCCTCCAGAAGTTGCCCACTTTTCCATCTGCACGGCCTGAAGTGGCCTCCTGCCACCTACTCCCTGACATGGGCCTTTGCGTTTGATCTAGAACCACACCCCATCTCAGCAGCCATCATGTGATCACATCGCAAAGCCCCCATTTGCGGTGTGGTATACTCTACTCACAGGTTGAGATGTAGACAGATGTAGGAACATATTTCGCTGGCTACAAGTATGAAGGGAATCAAACCATGTAAGGCGCTTAGAAGCATGACTGAGGTCCAGGAGTCATTCCTGTCTTTACAATTATTTGTGCAGAGATCAAAGTTTGTATTTTTCTTCCTCTAACTGAAACATAAGCTTAACAATTTAGTCCTCAAAATCGGTAATTAGATGACTTGATTATATGTGATCAGTCAAGCCACAGCAGACTGTTTAATTGGCCACTGTGTGCAATACTCAGATCCTCACCTCTGTCCCTCTACGGGCCTTGTCATATCTGTTAAAAGCAGGCCCAGGAGGAAGAGGAAGTACCGATGCCCTGGTCTGGGCTTCAGAACTCCTGCGGAGCTGGCCACCTTACATGTCTACTTCTTGATTTTACAATCAGCTGTGTCTTTTCCTTTTGCTCTGTTACAGCTCAGTGATGCAACAGACATCAAAACAGAGTGGGAGGCCCAGTGTTATAGTGAGCTATTCACACACACACACACACACACACACACACACACACACAGTCACAGGTGCAGATGGACCATTTAAAAGGATTGAATTGAGACTCACAAGCCCCTTCAGATTGCACAGAGCATCAGGGTGGCAGGGTCTGCATCCTTGGGACTGGAGCAAAATGATAGTCCCTTGCTTCCTATGTAAGTTATTTTCTCCTAATAAACTCCACTTGATCTTACCGGTCAAGCATCCTGGTTTCCATGCCTGTACAGCATATATCAGTTGCTCACTGAATATAAATGGACCTCTCATACAGTTATAAATATAATGGTACTTGTGTAGTGTTTAGCCAGCAAACTTGATAATAAGACTAATTTGTGTGTCCCAATGGCTTCTAGTTTAAAGAACTTGAAGTCATACTGTTTCAGAACAAACTCTCAGTCTGCTCTTTTTAATTAATGATTTATTTATGTGTATATGTGTGTGCTTACTGCATATATGTGCACTACATGCATACAGGTACCCAAAGAGACAGGAAGAGGGAGTCAGCTCCCTGGAAACTGGACATACAGATGTTTGAATGCTGCCCAATGCAGGTGCTTGGAACCTAACCCAGGTACTTAAACACCAAGTGCTCTTAACCTCTGAGCCATCTCTCTAGTCCCAAGATGTGGGGAGAGGGTATTTTTGTTTATTTGATTCTGAAAACTGAACTTAAGGCCCATCTATTGCCATGAAGAGACGCCAAGACCACAGCAACTCTTATAAGAGAAAGCATTTAACCAGGGTGGCTCATGGGTCAGAGGTTTAGTTCATGATCATCATGGTGAGGAGCATGATGGCACACAGACAGACATGGCTGGAGAAGTAGCTAAGTGTTCTACATCTAGATCTGCTGGCAACAGGAAGAAAGACCTGGGCTTGACATGG